GTATGGGGGTTGTACGTAGTTTATAAACAACTCCAAATGGAATGTCCGGGAGCTTTCTAAGAGAATTTCTGAGAACTTCTTAGTAATCAGGAATTCATGGAGTTCCAAGGGGAAGTTCTGAGCGATATCAGGGAAATTTCAAGGGGATGTTTTAGGAACTTCTCAGGGGAAGTTCAGCAATTCAGGAACTTCCTAGACATTATTGAGAACTTTTTAGAATGTCTGGGAAGTTCCAAAAAGTTCTGTGAATGGAGTGGTGAGAACTTCGAGGAACTTCTTGAAATTTACTGGAAGTTTTGGGAGCTTTCTTGGGAAGTATATATGGCTCCTGAGACTAACTCAGGAAGTGAGTAACTTGTACTCAGGTGTATGCACGGCCAATGAGAATAACTCAGAGAGAGAAAGAGTCAATTCTACTAAGTTGTATGATTAGTTTAAAACTGAGTTTACTCAGCGCTGAGTACCCTCACTTTTTAGACATTTCTCATACAACGTTCACTTGGGTATTAGAAAATTCCAATACAACTGAATGAACGTTACTCACTCACTGAATTAGTCTCGGCTGGCGTGTAGGAAACATCAGTGGAAGTTCAGTGGCGTCAAATATTACTTGCAATTTAATTATTTATTTATTGTAATTCATCTGACAGTAGTTGTCTTAATGAATAAAACTTAGATAATACACAAAAAAGCAACAGATAAACAGATTACAAAAATAATCACAATCTTCTCAATCGGTTTCGAAATTGGTTCGATGTTTCTCCGAATTCAAAAGCTTTTTCCACAGCGGAGAATGCCCGAATCATCGCAGACATTGGCTCATGGTATCCATATGCAGTCCGATGGAATCTTGATTGTAGTAAGGATGATTGCCGCAACATCCTCTGAGGAACACGGAAGTTTAATTGTGAGAGCAGTTGAGGGCAGTCCACATCGCCATTTAAAAGTTTCGCTACCAATAAAGCTTGTTACATTTTTCTTTAGTGTTCCTGTGTCTAGGTCCAATAGCATGCATCGGTTTGCATAAGGTGGTAAATTCATGGGATCGCGCAGGCTGCGCAAAGCCAACCTCAAAAATCTTTTCTGAACACGTTCTATTCGGAGATTCCACACTATCTCATATGGAGACCAAACCACAGATGCATTCCCAAGTATGGGCCGAACTAAAGAGCAATATAGTACCTTCAAGCAGTGAGGGTCTTTGAAATCTCGTGCAATCTTCGAAATAAATCCCAGTTGACGATTCGCCTTAGAGATGATCGAGGAATAGTGAAGATTGAAGGTCAACTTTGGATCCAAAAGAACACCGAGATCTGTCATACGTTCTACTCTGCGAAGCGTTACATTGTTTTTTTTTCCTTTGGTTTGTTTTTTTCCGTCGATCTTGTTTTCCGTGCTGAGCACCAATGCTACCGACGTGCCAGGAAGGCAGCTCCCACATCTGGACCCTACCTATCGACCCATCAACTCATGAACCGGGGACCAACGGCTTTACTTTCCATCCTAAGGAAGGCGTGATCAGAGGTGTTATGCCTCAGAACATCCCGGCGGCGCCGACTAGGATTGAACCCAGGCCTGCTGGGGTGAGAGGTTCAAGCGTTATATTGTCAATGCAGTAGTCGTAAAGGATTGAACTCTTAGAGCGGTGAAACGTCATCATTGCAAACTTTGGAACGCTGATGATGAGCTCCTCCTGACAATCCTCAATCGAGTGAACTATGACGTATAGCTTAAGATCATCTACATAAACGAGCTTGCATTTAACTCCCAATAAAACTAATACATCGTTGAAGAATATCGTAAACAAAAATCGTTATCGAATAAATATCAGTAAAACTAGAAGATTCTGTACATGTTGCAATCGATTTGAATGTAATTATTGCTAGATATCACGATTTTAAAGTCGGTGCACAGGTAGACAGTAAGGTTACGCGACACCACTGGGGAATTTCCTAAGAGAAGTTATGGGAACTTCCTAAGAGATTTGTCGAGATTTCTGAAGGAAAATTTATGCTTGTTCCTTGAAGAGGTTCTAGAATTTTCCGGAAGATGTTCTGGGAACTTGAAAGGCATTGTTTTGGGATCTACTGAGGGAGAGATTTGAATTCATCAAGGGGACGTATTTGAAATTTTCTATTGGAAGTTCTACGAAAAATGAGTTCTGTGAACTTTTACGTTTCTGGGAACTACTAAGAATATGTTTGTGGAGTTTCAAGGAGGTGTTCTGGAACTTCTCCAGGCTTTCCATAAAGATCTATAGATGTTCCACCTGGAGCAGGATGATTTCTACCAAAATAGTTGTATTACCAGACATTCTATGGACCCTTAAGTTTTCTGATCATCATAAAGTTCTATGATCATCACATCTCATGGACTTCCAGTCAGAAATCGTGAGGATTTTCTGGAACAGCTTTCAGAAGTCCTATGAATATCTTTCCAGAACTCAAGAGAACTTCCCTCAAAAGTCTGGTGGACTTATATCAAAATTCATTCGTATCTTCCACATAAATCCTGTGCACATTCCCCAGGAAGCTTGAGGATTTCCTTCAAAGAACCTATAAATATGTCTTAGAAATTCTATGCACAATCTGCGTAGAAGTTCTGTGAACTTTCCACAGAAATTCTATGCACATTTTTCAGAGGTTTTGTACATATTCCACAAAAATGTGTGAGCATTTCCCGGAAGCTCCGTGGATGTCCATAAAAATCCCCATGTACTTCGTTTAGAAGCCCCGCGAACTTCCTCCCAGAGCTCCACCAGAAATCCCATGGGCTTCCTACAAATGTTATTGTGGCCTTTTCTCAAAAGTCTTGTGCGAACCTGTGATGGCTTTTCCAAGAAGTGTTGTAAACTTTGTCTAGAAGTTTTTGGGACGTCCCCAGATGTTATGTTTTCCCCAACAATGCCGCGAGTTTCTTTTCAAAACTCCATGGACTTTCCTAAGAAGTTCCATGCATTCAGAAATGTGAACTTAATTCAGAAGCCTTGTGGACGTCCGCAGAAGTTCTATGAACAATCCCCAGCAGTACAACAATGCGGGCACCCTCCAACAAATCTGTGACCTTTCCCTTTCCAGTTCCGATATTCCCGTAGATTTTCCTAAATGCGCCATGGAATTCTTCCGGAAGTCATATGGGCTTTCTTTAGAAGTTTCTCGGACTTCCCCTAGAAGTCTTGTAGATTCAGTAGAATGAAATTTCTCTAGAACCTGCTCCTCGGATATTCTATGAACTCCACACCAAAAGTTCTGTGGACTTTCCTCAATAGTACTGTGAACCTGCTCCTGAAGCCATATTAAGATGATACGATCCAGAAGCCTGGGCTCTTATACTACTTCGCATTTTCAGGCGATAATAAATTATCTTCTACCGAAAAACATACAATGACAAAACTGCCTCCCCATGTTAGCTGCGACGCAACAAATATGGTGATGCAAATTTAATGAAATCGCAATAGTATCCGAACTCCCTAGAAAACTCGAAGCAATTGCCTATGATTTGTGGACGCTGAATTGTATTACCTTAACAATAAAAAATACTTTGACGGCTCCCCTAAAAGTCATTCCTTCCCTCAGAAGTTTTAACAAATGCAATGGCCTTCTCATTAAAGTCATCTGATTTTATATGAGTCCCATATAAAATCTGTGAGTTTCTTTGCAAGTCATGTATCATTTTTTTCTCAGAATATCTGTGAAATCTTGTGGGCTTCCCCTTTAATTGTCATAAGAGTATTCTCTCAAACTCTTATGGACTACCATCAAACATCTTGTGGGATTGCTTCTAAGTCTTGTACGCTTTTCTAAATGTTAGAACCAACATATTATGATATGAAGAGCTTTGAGTGGCTTGGTTTATTTCCTTTAAATTCCGTTATAATTGCTTATCTTTTGACATCAAAAAGACCTCAAAAGATAAGCAATTATAACGGAATTTAAAGTAAATAAACCAACCCACTCAAAGCTCATCATAAAGGGATTCCGTTAAGAGGTTCGACAAATTTAAAGGATATTTTGATAGTTTTAATGTGAATCGTTGCGGAAGCCTTATTTCTGATTATTCTCATTTACACCTAGCAATTTCAAGAGCACAAATATCATATCTCACGAAACATACAACAATGATACTGGAACTTAACTTTACAAGTAGTTCCAATTTCATGGCCGGTGTCGTAACAGTGTACGATGTTTGTGCTCTAGAAAGCTAGGAGCGATAAACTCTATCAGCCGCCATGACGGCCATCTTTGTCCTCTTCAAGGAATCACCATAATGACCTCCACAGTCAATCGAAAGAACGAAACAACTTCTTTTCTAGGCTCTGAACTTTGATTCCCATGATAACCTTAATAATTCCAGAAGTAAACCCGCAAGCCCCGCAACAAAACCAACCCGATCGAAGCTTCAGTCCTCCCCGACGTAGCGGAATCAAACTTCTCAAACTAAAGCTCTAGAAGCGATGATTCGGTGCAACTACGGATGATGAGTTCAATTTTTTTTCTCTATCGGTCCTATTATGAGCAATGATGTGTGTAGCCGCAAAAGTCGATACTATAGAATATTCAATGGATGAGGAAGAAGCCCACTATTAGCCGCTAATCGTCTCGAGTAAACACACTCACTGTCCACGGTTTTGTTTCATTTCATCGCGTGCTTCTTCAAAAAGTGTCCTCTTCGATGGAGACTACTAATGTTTTCCGCTACTGTTAGTCACGGCGCGGGTTGTGATTAGTGGTTGGTTGGTTGGTTGGTTGATTAGTTGGTTGGTTGGTTGGTTGGTTGGTGGTAGATGGTTCAACAAGATGCGTGCAAGCAGTAGTGATACGGGCAAGAGAGGAACACAGAATACACGAAAAACGGTCAACGATGGGTGAAATTCGTCCAACAAGGTCGTAACAACAACGGGTGATTTTATGAATGAAAGCGAAATGAAACCGAACGGCCAATTAGAAATTATGAATGATGGTGATGGAAATGGGAAATTCTAGGGAAAGCAAATTTCTAACCTGTGTTGGGTTCGTCGATCGGCTCGAAATCGCCATCGTTCCAGCCGTCGCCGGTGCTGGTGTTCCAGTTCGAGTTGGAATTGTTGGTCGTGCTGTTGATGATGTTGGTCATATTTTTGAGGGCCAGCATCTTGCTCGGACTACTGGTGGTGTGATGGTTTGGTAGATTGTTGTTGGTATTGTTACTACTACTGGACAGTGCGGAGGAAGCGGCGGACGTGGAGGCAGCTCTGCTGGAGTTTGTCGCAGGTGACGCATTTGCCGTCGATGGTTGGTTGGGAGTCCTCGACGGCGGTTGCGTTCGCATGTGCTCGTCTTCGTCTTTCTCGTCCAGATCTTCGTTCTGAAATGTTAGTTGAAGAAATTGGGGAACACGCGCATTGGAATAAATTTAAAGCTTACCGGTTCTTCCTCCAAACTACCCCAGTCTTCGTTGTCCCACCCGTCTCGAGCGTCGTTCACACTACCGATCATATTGAGACTAGCGGAGAGCGGATTCGATGTACCGGCCATAGGACTACTAGGATCTTGGGATGTCTGAAAATTCAGTAGAAGGCCTTTTATAATTCCATTTGCCAGGCGGTCATTTGCAGCGAGATAACTTACATCCATATCGCCCCAGTTCTCCTGGTCCCAATTATCCGCACCGTAGTCACTGGCCGATGCTGATGTGTCTGCGCTTTCATGCTCCAGCGAGGTCATCGACGTGACGCTGCTGGTTGTCGTTGAAATACTACTACTGGATGGTTGTTCTGAAATGTCGGATCGAAGCAAAAAGAAAACTAATTAAGCCCAGAACCTTCCGACACAATCTACTGACAACTAAACATTGCAGCAGCTAGCTATTAATGGTAGGAAACCAAATGGATAAATTCTAGAGAGCGATTTAAACTCGGTTTCTTATAGAGAAAAAAAGTGACGTTCTAGCGTACGCCTACATACCCAGCGAAGCAGGTTTACTCAAATTTTTACCGGTTAGTGGTGGCCGCGGTCGTGCCGTGTCACTTTGACTTCGGTAGAACTTGGCCGTGACGGCCGTCACTGCCCAGCCGGCCCAAGTGGCCGCGGCATTGCCGAGCGATGGTGTCGCCGTATGGACGTCCGCCTCTGAAATGCGAAGAACCCGTTAGAAAAATCCCCGATGCGATTCCCCAATTTGAACATAACCTACCCATGCTCTCCCGTAGACTAGGATCTTCGCTGACCTTCTCCAGCTTGCCGAGGAAACCCCGTATCGTCTTGAAGGCCGGATCGCGGACCGTCTTTTCCGGATCGGCCGTCAGCGGACACAGGGCAGGCAGAATCCGGTTGGCAACTTCGTTCAGGAGGAAATATTGCTGGGTAGCCGCCAGGGCTAGGATTCCTGCCACCCGAGCCGGCGGGAAGGGATCGCGCATCGCCCGTATGAAGGCCGACACCAGCACCCGTTGCCGGACCTGTGGGAATGTGGGATTTAGTTATTGTGAGTACTTGGTAAAAAAGAAATATGGGCTTCAAATGAGGGCAAGAGTCGTAAGGTTGAATGGCATAAAGACTGGACTCGGAAAAATGAGACACACAAAAATGATCACCAAAAATTCATTTTAAATCGGATACTTCTCAAATTTTCAGGGATTAAATAACTATATATTAGCTATGTTTTGGCATAATTTATTTATTGAATTTCCTCCCCCAAGCTGAATGCTCGTACATTTCTCTTAACACTGCTCATGAGATCTTGGGCGAGGCTTTGCCCATCTTCCTTACACAATTTCTTCCAGTTTTTCTTCAAAGCTTCATCGGTTTTGAATGTTTTTGCGCTTTTCTTCAACTTCTTCTTCATTATCGCCCAAAACTTTACGATCGGACGAAGTTCTGGTGTATTTGGCGGGTTCACCTCCTTCGGGACCACATTAACGCCCTTCGCTTCGCACCAATCCATTGCAGGCTTGGCGTAATGGCACGAAGCGAGATCCGGCCAGAACAGCGTGGGACCACGGTGAGAGCGGAGGAAGGGCAGCAAGCGCTTCTGCAAGCATTCCTCTCGATAAATCTGCCCGTTTATGGTGCCGGTTGTAACGAACGGCTTGCTGTACCGTCCGCACTCGCAGATCGCCTGCCACAACAGGTACTTCTTCGCGAATTTGTCCATCTTTCTCTTCCGGAACTTTTCCGGAACCTCCATGCGGGACGTACCAACAAAAAACTCGAGGCCGGGGATTTGTTTGGTGTCCGCCTTGATGTATGTCTCGTCGTCCATGACGAGACAGCCTGGCTTGACCAGCCACTCACGGTACAGCTTCCGCGCACGCAATTTGGCCACCGTGTTTTGCTTGTCAGTCCGGTTTAGCGCCTTTCTGACCTTAAAAACACGTAGCCCAGCCCGCTTCATGGTCTGCTGGACGAACCACTTCGACGAATTGACATTTTTGGCCACGTCTCGGGTGGAAAGGTTCGGGTTATTCCTAAACTACCGCCTTATCTTCCGCGCCTTCTCTGGGTATTCCGTTTTCGGTTTTCGGCCGCTTCCAGTGCGCCGCTCGATGGTCTTCGTCTTCTGGAACATCTTCACAACGCGGGACACGGTGGAATGGTGGATTCCAAGCCTTTTGCCGATCCATCTGTGCGACTGACCAGGATTATCGATCACCGCGCCCAAGATTTGCTGGCGTAGCTCTTCTTGTTTCGAATGCATCTTGAAAACTACTTGACAGATCGCGATAAAATTTTGCACACATATACATAACACTCTAAACTAGTATTACCCAAAATTTCATTAATTTTTACCCACGCGATAAAAAGTTACACCCAAAACAAAGTGTCGTATTTTTTCCGAGTCCAATCTTTATAATAGGATCAACAATAAATTGGAGATAGCTGTACAGTCCGATTTTCTTTTCGCTCGCTCTATCGAGTCGTTCGGTGTTTTAAGTCGGTCGTTTGGTCGTGGTACCCGTCGAGAGTTTTCGCTTTGGCTAGCAACGTGTCGTCAGTTGTAGTCTCTCTTGTGATAGTCGCTAAATCGGCGGTAGCGGAGCAACGATTGAATGCCTCCACTCACCTGTTGAAATAACAAAAGGTGATGGGTCGCCAAAGTTTGGATGCAACCGCATCCGCTCAAGATGCCCCGAAAAGGCCTCGCAAGGAAGCTGGTGCCAGCAACCACACGGAAATTTTGCTTCAGAGTAATCCGTTCTGAGCACTCTCCGAAGAAGCAGATATAGATCCAGTTGAGAAACGGGAAAAAGTGCCCCCACTATTCACCTCGACGAAGTAACTCGCGTTGCTCAGGAATAAGCTGGCTAAAAACCAAATCCATCCGCTATTCAAGCTGTGCAACACGGGGATCAAAATCTTGTGCTCGACGCTGGTGGACTACAACGCTGTTGGCACTTTTATCCAGCTGAACCGGTTTGAGTTCTACACTCACGACGTCCCTGGAAGCAACCCACTGAAAATGGTGATCCGTGGTCTTCCAAATCTTCCTGTTGCGGACATTAAAGCGGAATTGGAGCACCTTCATATGCAACGAAATCAACATTTTTCCCATTGCGAGACGTGATGAAACCAGTGTATTTCGGGACCAGTTGTACCTGGTGCACTTCGATAAGGACTCCAGCAGTGTGGCTGCTCTGCGACAGATTCGCGCGCTGTTCAACATCGTGATTCAGTGGAAGTAGTATCACCCTCGGGAGTAGTATCACCACGGTACGAAGAATTGTCACATGAAGGCTCGTTGCGGCAAATGTGCTGGGGCTCACAATACTACCGCCTGCAAGAAGGAAGAAGAAGCTGAACCTAAGTGCGTGAACTGTGATTCCAACCATCTGGGCAGCGATAGGAGATGTCCCAAGCGAACGGCCTTCATCCAGATCCGACAACAGGCTTCCACGAGGGACCAACCTGGTCGACACCGCAATAATCGTGCTCCTACTGTCAACATGGACACGTTTCCAGTACTTCAGGCTCGTCGCATGGTCCCGAACCTATATTTATTTATTTATTTGTCAGCATCACCAGACTCGATATGGTCCCAATGACTACAAAACATTAAAACATAATCATTGACTGTTTCAATTTCTAGAGAAGAATGAAGAGAAACGTCTCCGAAGTGTTAGTCGTGGCAGGTGACCGATTAAATACTCGCTGCAGGCCGCCTATTGCACCGTTGATTGCATAGTTTGTCCTATGTAGTGGCATTCTCAGCATAACATTGTTACGAAGCATTCGGGGTTGGACGTTAATGTTTACTTGCTCCAAGATTGCCATGCAATCAATTCTGCCATGTAACGTGTCCGCGACAAGCAGGGCTTTTGAAGTATCTCTTCTGGTGCGAAGAGGCTCCAAGTCAATCAGCTGGCAGCGACTTTCATAGCTGGGCAAATGAAACGGGTCTCTCCAAGGTAACATTCTCAACGCGTATCGCAGAAAGCGGCGTTGAACGGACTCGACTCTCCCAGTACCATTGTTGTGGTTCGGACTCCAAACCACAGAACAATATTCTAGACTGGAACGTACCAGGGAACAATACAGTGACTTGAGGCAATGGATGTCAGAGAAATTCTTAGCTGTTCTGAAGATAAAGCCCAATGTCCTTGACGACTTGTCGACGACGTACGAGATGTGTTGCTTATATGCAAGTTGAGAGTCCAGGATGACACCTAGATCTTTTACATGGCTCACACGTTCAATAATGGTGTACCGGAGAGCATAGTGAAAAATAACTGGTTCTTTCTTTCGGGTAAAAGTGATGACTGAACACTTTGCAGGATTTACTGTCATTCGGTTCAAATGGCACCAGCTGGCAAACGCTTCAAACTAACGTTGGAGGAATTGACAATCATCGATCGAGCAGATCAGTAAGTAGATTTTGAGATCGTCTGCATACGATAGTCGTGGACCTTCGATAACTAAATTCACGTCATTGAAGTAGAGTAAGAAAATCAACGGTCCCAGATGACTTCCTTGAGGTATTCCTGACGTAGCTGCGAGATCGGCGAGATATGAGCAAAACCACCATCTCAAGAGATTTCCGCTAATCCCAAGTCTATCCAATTTGGCGATCGCGATGGCGTGATTTATCTTATCGAAGGCATCAGACAAGTCAGTGTAGATGACGTCTGTTTGTGACCTTTCAACCATACTTTGCGTGATGTACGATGTCAGACACAGTAGATTCGTGGTAGTAGATCAACCAGAGGTGAAGCCATGTTGATCTTCACTTAGATACTGCTTGCAATGGGAGAGCAGAGGCTCTATGATGATTAACTCGAATAACTTCGAAATTGCGCACAACGATGTAATTCCACGATAATTATCCACGTTCCGTTTACTACCCTTTTTATACACAGGGAACATATGCGCAAATTTCCAGTTCAATGGAAAAATGCCACACGATATGAACAATCGGAACAGATGTTGTAGCGGTGACAGTAAGTTAGCGATATGCTTCTTCAGAAAGACTGAAGGAACACCATCCGGTCCAGGGTTGATAGAAGGCTTTAGTTTTAGTGCGTATTCACGTATTCGTTGGTTAGGCTCTCGTCAGAGAAGACACTTGCAAACTTGTTGGAGAACAAGCGGCAGACTTCCTGTGGAGTGGAAGCGACTTCGCCGTTCAATATCACGGATGATGGTAGACCGGACTCTCTGCGCTGCTTCTTCACGTACTTCCAGAAAGACTTCGGGTGCGACTTGAATTTCCTTTGAATCCCTCGCAGAGATAATGCAAGTAGCATTGACGGCTGACTCGCTTGAACTGATAATTGAGCTTAACGTAGTGACGTTTCAGTGACATCATTCGATATTTAGTGAATTTCCTCAACGCGGCTCTCTTGATCGATTTCAGCTTCTTCAATTCGTTCGTCTGCCAAGGGAGGTGCGATGCAATCTGGCGAACGCTCTTAGGTACGTGTCTGTCAATGACATAAGCCAAGACATGTGAAAAAGTTTGAGCAGCGGTTTCGACGTTATCAGAATCGAGTATGTTTTCCCAATCAATGCTTGACAGCACATCGGCAATGCTACGATGATCGGCTTTCCGGAAATTGTAAGACACCGTAGTGAAGATGTCTTCGAGATCCCGAATGTGATTGTCGTCAACAGTAATAACCAAAGGAGGATGATGAGGAACTTCCTTTACGAGTGGAGAAGCAGCACCGCTTCCACTAAACCAGCGCCCCCCGTTGCGAATCCAACATCAGATCAAGCGGGTTCCAGCCACCATTCAGTTCAGCATCGCCTCATTATCGCTGCGGCTCTACTGCCCCGGGATTATCGTACGCCTGTGCTGTGTCAGGGAGATCTTGCTTCTGCACCCAACGAGCTTCCAACAAGTAATAGCGATATGGCTGATCCTTGGCGGAGATCTCGAGCGTCACTTTCTTCGAGCCATTAGTTCAGCACATCTTCAACGGTTCCACCGGTCCATCAGCTTCCGACGATTCCACCAGTTCGCTATCCACGATAGTTACCGACTACCCTCAGTCGATTAGAACAAGAGTATCTACTCTCTTTTAGTCAATAATCGCTCAAATATCCTAACATAATCTGTGGATGACCCTTTGTCGAATAATCGGTTTCCCCATCCAATACTTCATTGACGACTCACCACGATGAATCACGTTGAATGTCCGTAGATGCATGATGATTTTTTTCGACGTATTAGTAGCGATAGCAGAAAGTATTTTGGTAGTAGTAATCCCGTTCGGGGAAATCTCCGGGGCTCTCTCGCAGTGAAAAAAACCCGTCTTTTTCATCATCCACGGGCTGACGAGCGTATTGGTCGATGAAGTACTGGACCATATTATGATCCTGAATAGCAACTAATAAAAGGAATTTATTTTTAGCTTTGCTATCGACGGCCTCTATTCCATCCGGGTTGGATAATTGCGCCGTTAACGAGTCTGAATATGCGCTCAGCCGGGAAGAGGAAGACTAATTCTCCCGGGGATGGCGTTGTGATCTGAGAAGCAGCATACATGGACAGTAGTTCTCGAAGGTCGGTGCATACAACTTATCGATCCTGGATAAAGAGTTGTGTACACTAGGCACCTCGCAGATGTTGAGCTACGGCTTGAAGAGTGGGACTGGAACTTACTCCTTGAAGGTTGGGCTTCAACTGAGTGATTCAACAATGGGATGCTTCGTCTTCCTCGCATTTCAAGCTTATTGCTTATCGCATATTAGCTTATTGGGTGCTCTCAACTTAGTAGTGCTCTAGATCTAGATTATTGCATTCGTATAATTATGTGGTAAGTACAATCATACTCTATGTCCATGGAAGTTGAGAAATATTCCTAGATCGGATCGGGAATCTAACCCAGCAACCTCCAGCATGGTCTGGCTTTGTAGCTACGCCTTTACCAACTGAGCTAAGGGAGGCAATGAGATGCGTTATTGTTGAATCACTCAGTTTAAGTTTCCTTCAAGGATGATCTGGTCGGTGCGAAGACAAAGTTGATAGGCACTCACTTTCGGCACCATGAACAGATCTACGTGAGAGAATTTGATGTGTTTTTTCAAAGAAATTTCCGTTCCTCTCCTTGCATGGACGACATTGCAGACAACGTGGTGAAGGGAATCCTACTTGGTTCGCTTAACATTGATGGTTTCCGATGTTACAGCTGAATTAATCCATCATTGTTGCATTTATTTAGCGGAAATTTCGACACGTTCCAGTTCGCTCAAAAACTGTTTTCATCTTTGCAGCAAGTTACTTGACGATTGATTTCTACTCCAAACCTCTCATAAGTGAACCAAAAAAGAGATTTGCATTCGGTCTCGTTCGTTAAAAACTCAACAGCTGTTCGACCAAACGACTCATTGCACAATCCAGCGATAATTACCTGCGGATGCAAATGCGGGGCAATTTTCCCCAAGCAAACAGTGGTGTTGGTGCGAATTCCTCCTTGATCGTCCCGTGATTGTAACCGTGCAAAGTGTCGTAAAACCTCGACGTTCAAATTGTTGTAGTTCAGCTTTGGCGCCAGATGTATGATTGACTGAAATATAGATCGTTATAGCTTTTCTAGAACCTAGTGCTTCCCAACAAACAACCAACCTTAACCGTCTGTTCCCTAATCGTTGGATTGGTATCGAGAAAACCGTGAGCAATCTGGGGAAAGATCTGATCGTTGACCACCCCCGTCTGCAGGTGATTGATAAACAGTTCCAGCTGTTGCAGCAGTCGGGACCGCGTTACACGATCGGTCGATGCGAACAGCTTGACTACGCATGGCACTATCCGTTTCTGGTACTCGATTTCGTCGAGTAGCCGCCCGAGCTGCAAGGAAGGGAAACTTTAGTTGACAGTTTTTCCAATCAATACTGCCCCCGAATCTTACTTTGAACATGGGAGCAAGCACCGCCGAACCCGCATCACCATATTCGTAGGCCGTTATGAGCTGCGGAAGAATTTTATTCCTGCAAACAAAGAAACACAATTTTTTGCATTAGAGTTCCAACCCACGTGACAATTCCTCCGCCCACATACTTGCACACATTATCGGGAAAACTGTCCAACTGCGGCGTCAGGGAACTGAAGAATCGATTCTTCTCCGCCTTGTCCTTGATCTGGATCTCCTCCAGGAAGAGCAACGTGTCGACCAGTTCGTTTTTGAAGAAGCCCCCGGGCTTGCGACACTTGGTAATCACATCGGCCGGATTGGGTCGGCTGGCCGGAGAGGCTCCCACCAGCTCGCAGTATAGTGGTGCCAGGGATTTTGGAATACCCGCCAGATCCTTCAGGTTGCCCCGAGCCCTCAGCGGTCCGTTGAAGGCTTCCCACACCAGACATCCCAGGCCCCACATGTCGGTGGAACATTTGGTCATGCTTTTCAGCTTGCTGGCATCGTTCTTCTCCGGCGGGTCGTAGATCTCCAATGCTGGCGGTATTTTTATGGGCGGCGCTGACGCCACATCCGTCGATGAGACGTACTCCAATCCACCCAGCTTCCATTCGCCGCTGGCATTTACGAATACGGACCACACTGAGACATTGTTGTGGCGCAGGTTACCGTCGTTGTTCAGGAATGATAGTGCACGCTGAAAGGGAAAAAAAATGACATGGTTAGAGTAGATTTGTAGATCAGTTGACCATCAAATTTCTAATGTAAGAGTTCTTCGTTGAACGTCTCAGGTATATCAAAAGGACTTGCAGGGTCTATTCAGACGGATTATAACAAATGCACTCCATACAGATATTCAGAAGAATTTTAAAAATTATCCTCGGAACTTTTCCGAGACCCCATAGGAGGATTTTGAGACGATGTACTTGGCCAGAAAATTGAGAATTTCCATTACACTTTTATCCGGAGATCTGCGACTTAAGCGCAGAACACACACGGCATTTTTTAACGACAGACTTTTTATAAGAGATCGTTGCGTGTCCGTAGACGACTTTATAGCGACACAAAATTGGTTTGAGTCTATGGTAAAGGAGAAACCTTGGGGGAACAAATAGAACGTAAACGAAAAAGAGTTAAATTTCCAATCGCGTTGGGGTTTGATGAACTTGACGGAAGTTCTATGAACATCTCGAAAGTTCTATCACAGACAAACAGACGTAGCTCTTTGAAAACGTTTTTCTTGAAAACATAGTATCTCAAAACATAGGACCTCAGTAACGGCATCTCTCGGACTTCTCGCGGAAAGCAAGCTTGCTCGCTTACTTGCAAACAATATTGCATACAAGTTCTATAGAATGTATATAAACGTCAAAGATGCCAGCGCTGCGGCGAGTAGTTCGCGGAACTGATAATATTCAAATCAACCGTTAAATGGGTGAACGAAGATAAACAATCAAGAGTTACGTATGTTTGTCTGTGGTTCTATGAACACATGGGAAGTTCTACGAACTGTTTAGAAGCGCTATAAACTACTCGAAAGTTCTATTAAATTCTCAGAAATTCTATAATCACCTCGGAAGTTCTATGAGAGTCTCTGAAGTTATTTGTAGATCTCCATAAAGACTTTTGGATATTTTTCCAAGATTTCAGATTGCACAGATATTGTTCTGAAGATCTTCAATTGTCCAAAACGTCAAGTCACGTCTCTCATATATTAATACTTAACCGACCGGGCCGGATTATGATTTCAAGAACAACATGTGAAAAGGGCATACAAGCTTTTTGTAAACAAACCTTCTTATGCCCTTTTCTCGCCATCCATATGACACCAACGCAAACCATCAACATCACAGGGTAGGAGAAACTTTCTTCTTTCCGATGATGTGGTTGGTTTGCGTAGGCGACCCTTGGTTGGCGAGAAAAGAACCTACACAGGTTTGTTTACAAAAAGCTTGTATGCCCTTTTCACATGTGGCTCTTGATTTACTCTAATGGCTCGTTCTCGACGACTTGATGTGTCATCAAAGGGAAGAGTTGGGCTAAAAGCTAATATAAAACACGTCTCTTTATGACCCTCCCCTTTTTGTGGGAGGCGGATGAGTATGTCATTTCATATTTTTCTAACTGCAGCTACGTTGATGAAATTTGTGCCATAAATCATTTCACTTTGTAAGATGCCGTCAAAAACAAATCATGCGTGATCATGAAAAATTGGCCACTTCCTCCAGGGCTTCCGAAACCTGTTCCGGGGTAAAACAAATACCAATGTAATCCAAAAAAAGAATATATGGCTTTTTCCGGATTTTTCATAGAATTCTACGAACAATGATATGTCGCCCGATAGGTTTCGGAAGTAGTGAAAAATTGGTAACTTTTCCTAGTGCTTCCAGAACCTGTTCCGGAGCCACCAGATGGCCAATGTGATCAATAATAGAATATATGGGCTCTTCTAGATAGTCCACAAAATTCTGAGAAAAATGATATGTCATTCGATAGGTTACTGATGTAATGCAAAACTGGCCACTTCCTCCAGGGCTTTCGGAGCCTGCTTTGGGGCCACCATATGGCCAATATGATCCAGAAAAGATTATATGGCCTCTTCCAAATTGCTCACAAAATTCCGAGGACAATGATATGTCACTCGATAGGTTTCTGATATAGTGAAAAATTTACCGCTTTCTCCAGGGCTTCCGGAACCTGTTCCGAGGCCACCATATGGCCAATGTGATCCAGGAAATATTGTATGGGTCTTCCGGATTGCTCGCAAAATTCTGAGAAGAATGATATGTCCCCCGATAGGATTATGATGTAGTGAAAAATTGGCCACTTTATCCGGACCTTCCGGAACCTGTTCCGAGGCCACCAGATGGCCATTGTGATTTAGAAAAGATTATAGGGCCTCTTCAAGATTGCTCACAAAATTATGAGCACAATGGATAGGTTTCTGGTGTAGTGTTACATTGGCCACCTCCCTCAGGGCTTCCAAAACTTGCTCTGGGGCCACCAAATGGCCAATGTGATCCAAGAAAGATTATATGGCCTCTTCCGAATGGCTCACAAAATTCTGAGAGCAATGATATGTCACTCGATAGGTTTTCGATGTAGTGAAAAAAATTACCACTTTCTGCAGGGCTTCCACAATCCTGCAGTGGAACATTAACGGGTGATCTAGAGCTCCTTTGCCACGACGATCCCCCCCTGGGTCATCCCACTCCAGGAAACTAACAAAGCGACAACAGCCCAAATCAACCGCTCTCTAGGTGGTAAGTTTATGTGGACAGCAAAACGGGGAAACAACTCCCGGGTACTCCGTGGCCATCGGGGTTTTGAAGACTATACCTTCCGAGGTTGTCGATATGGACTCCGATCGATCACGATCAACTCAGCGAAGCCATAGCTAAACTACCGGAACCGCACATCCTTGTTGGAGATCTGAACGGGCACCACCCAAGCTGGGGCTGCCCCCGCTCCGACCCACGAGGTGTTACCCTGGTCGAAATTTTCGAGAAGGAAGACATGGTTATTCTGAATGACGGAGTGCCCACGTACTTTAACGGGCGGCACACTTCTGCCATCGACGTCTCTGCTGTCAGCCGCTGCTTTGCCGGAAAAACTCAGTGGAGCGCGAACACGGATCTCAATGATAGTGACCACTACCCCATCAAACTTCAACTTTCGACCGCCATCTTTCCAAGCGGACTGGGATAGCTATGGTGAAGCCTTTCAGTCCTTGTTACTACAGCGTAATCCGAACAGCATTGAAGACTTTTCAGAAGTGGTATACGAAGTGGCAACAGCAACCATCCCAAAGACCAGTAGCGTTCCAGGGCGAAAAGCGCTACGCTGGTGGAATGAAGATATGTAAAGCATTTCGCCGTGTAAAGCGCATCGGACATCCCGACCGCGAGGACGCTCTCCGTCACTACCATAAGTCGCACAATCAATGCCGGCAAGAAATCCGTGTCGCCAAACGAACCAGCTGGATGCACTTTCTGTAAGGAATGAATTCGTCACACTCGGGAAACGGCGCATGACACCTATCCACGTACAGATTAACGGTGAAGCGGTTTCTGACCCTGCAATTGTAGCGGACGAACTCGGCTCGTACTTTACCGATCTCGCAGCCATCGAGAAGTACGAAGACGAATTCAAGCGGAAAGCTAAGCCTTCGATGTCATCCATCGCAAGTTTCACTGTTTCTTCTGACGCTGGGAACTCGGACATCAACCAGGCATTCTCCTGGCAGTAGTTGCAGCATGCCCTCCGCTGCAGCAACGGAAAGTCGGCGGGTCCCGACGAAATCGGGTACCCTCTACTCAAGAGGTTACCAACGCCAGGCCAGCTACGGATGCTGGAGCTTTTCAACAAACCCTGGCTCACCAAATCGTATCCAGCGTCGTGGCAGGAGAGCTTAGTTATTCCCATCCCATAAGCCAATGAAACAACCCGTGAAGTTAGCAAGTTCCGGCCAATAGCCTTGACATATTGTATGGCCAAGGTCCTGGAGCGAATGGTCAACAGGAGGCTAAAGCATTTCCTTGAAGCCGAAAACCTGCTAGACCATCGACAGCACGCCTTCCGTCAAGGTTACGGAACGTCAGCTTACTTCGCAACATTAGGGGAGGTCCTTAAGAGTGCCAACGATAGCGGGTTCTACACCGAGATCGTCTCGCTGGATATATCGAAGGCCTTCAACAGGACGTGGAGGCCCCTCGTCTTAGAGCAGCTTGTCAACTGGGGACTGTGTGGACACATGGTCCACTTCATCAAAAATTTCCTGACCGATCGTTCGTTCAGAGTCGCAGTTGGCAACACGAGGTCCCAGCTTTTCAGAGAAGAGACAGGCGTCCCACAAGGTTAAGTTATCGCCGTTACCCTCTTCCTTGTGGCCATGAACGGAGTTTTCGGATGTTTACATTTTCCTGTATGCTGACGATGTACTCATCGTAACTACCGGCCCAACAGCAGCACGTAACAGGATCAAGGCCCACACAGCAGTCTCCGCTGTAGCCAGGTGGGCCAGCTCGGTAGGTGTCAGCGGGCCACCTATCAAAGTTCAATGCCAGCCCATACCACTGAAGAAGCCGGTCCGTATTCTGGGGGTACTTGTTGATCGGTCCCTCAACTTCGAGCAGCACTTTAAGGCGATCAAAAACGACTGCCGCAGTCGGATCAACTTGATCCGCACCATCTTTCGCCCCCACCGGTCTAACAATCACGACACTCGTTTCCGGGCTGTAAGAGCCGTCATCGATAGTCGCCTACTGTACGGTATTGAGATGACGTGCATCGCCACCGAAAAGCTCGTGCAGATACTAGCACCAACTTTCAACACCTACGTCCGGATTGTTTCCGGTCTTGCCGCATGCATCGAAACGGGTATTCTGCCCTTCCGCCATCGTATAACCGCAGCAATTGCAACGAAAGGCGCTACCTTTACAGCAATGACCTCCGGAAATGACAGGATCTTTCTCCTCGATGAGGGGAACAGACTCCTTCGCATGACTGCCAATTCAGAGCTTCCCCCACTGGCCAAAATCCACTGGTACGGAGACAAAAGTTGGCGCATACCTCCACCAAAAATCGAGAGTCGGCTAAAGAGCAGGTTCAAGGCTGGAGTAGCCGAACTGCTAGGCACGGACTACCCAACCCATGCCCACATATACACGGACGGAACGCTTTCCCGAGCCGGGGTCGGAATTGGAGTAGCCGGAATTTCAGCACCGATGAGTAGCAGCCTACCGCCACAATGCTCGGTTTTCTCCGCCGAAGCTGCGGCCATCTTTGTTGCCGTTACAACACCCTCGGACCGGCCCATACTGGTGCTATCCGATTCGTACAGCGTGATACAAGCCCTTACATCTGAGACCCTGACTCACCCCAGGATACATGGTATTGTGGAGGCCACACCTCCGAACACGGTGTTTTCCTGGATCCCTGGGCACTTCGGTATCCCAGGAAATAGCGAAGCCGACAGCCTGGCAGGGTCTGGACCAGCTGACCTCCATAACACCGACGAAGTGCCACTACAGGACATAAAACGATGGATAGTCAGCAAAATGTGGGAAGCCTGGGAAGCAGGGTGGTGCCAATCTCAATCCCTCTTCATCCCCATACAAGGATCTCACATAGTTTTGGTGGGACGCAGTTCCACAGAATGTGCTACGTTTGCGGAACCACTGCATCGGTGGAACACATTCTATGCCTGTGTCCGCAATACCAACAACTACGGGAGTAGTACGCACTTCCAAACAGCATTAGGGACATACTGGGCAACAAACCTTGAATTGTAAGCCAACTCCGTAACAAAATTTGCAGGCAGAACTTACCTCTGGAGCCTTCTATTTTATAGAGATGAACTAGCCAACGGCTAAAAATCTCTCTAATAAAGTAAAAAAAAAATGTTCCGACCCCAGCAGATGGCCAAAGTGCACAATAATAGATGATATGGCCTCTTTTAGATTGTCCACAAAGTTCTGAGAACAATAATATGTCGCTCGATAGGTTTCTGGTTTAATGCAATTTTGCCACTTCCCCCAGGGCTTTCGGTACCAGTTCCGGAGTCAGCAGATAGTCAACATGATCCATAAATGATTAAATTAACCCTTCTGGAATCTGTTCTAAGGCTACAACATTCTGAGAACATTGATATGTTGCTCGATAGGTTTCTGTTGTAGTGATAAACTGGCCACTTCCCCTAGGGCTTCCGGAAGCTGTTCCGGTGCAATATGATGGCATGATAATGAATGATTTGTTTTCGACGGCATCTTAAAAAGTCAAATGATTTATGGCACAAATTTCATCAACATAGCTGCAGTTAGTTGCCTCACTTAGCTCAGTCGGTAAAGGCGCAGCTACAAAGCAAGACCATGCTGGAGGTGGCTGGGTTCGATTCCCATTAGGATCTAGGGATTTTTCGGGTTGGAAAATTTCTTGACTTCCCTGGGCATAGAGTATGATTGTTCTTGCCACACAATTATACGAATGCAAAAATGGTACAGGCATCGAAAGCTCTCAATTAATAACTGTGGAAGTGCATGGTCGGTGAAGGGCTAAAGAAATCAGGTGGACCACGAATTATTCCAAAGACCTTAAGTTGATCAAAAATGTACATATAGTCCTTTGGGAAATTGTCCAAGACTTCAGGTTCATGAGGCATTATTCTGAAGAACTGCCCATCAATTTAAGTCAAGTCTCTCAGATATACTGCCAAGATTGCAAAGACCATCAGTGTTGTTCAAAGATCTTCAACTGTCCAACAATTTAAGTCACGTTCCTCTGAGAGCAGAGTTTTCGAGATATCGATGTTTGGCGTGGAATTGTGCGTTTTTGACCAAAGTGCTAGGAGAGGATGGGGTCTGAGATTGGTATGAAACGCTACACCATTTTAGCACAGACAAACAGACATAACACATTGAATATTTCTCCCTGCAAAACATCGTCGCTAAAACTGTACCGCCATCACAGTGTACGGACAGTACGCTCAACAGATGGCGATAGTGTGCAAACGTCACACACAAGACAATTTAATATGCGCGCCACAGGTGGTGGTACTACCAACTAAGAAACATTTAAATTTACCGTGAAATGTGTGGTCGATGGACAACTTGCGAGTTTTTTGTCTGTTTGTATGTGATTTTAGTATGCCCCTCACCAGCAACAGCAGCAAGAGAGTTCTAAATATGATCCATATGCTAAGAGCAATTATCTTCTCACTAGATTCGGCAACATGTATTAGTAATGTAAGTAGTTGGGACCTTTAAATGAAATCACTGTGTGGCAGCAAAAAAAAATTATCTTGCCTCACAATAATGATGAGCAAATAAGTAAATAAATAAATAATCTCGATCTGCAATGCTCGGTTCGAACAATCCATCATCCTATATGGTTTAAACGGTTCCGAACAATAAATCTTAGTTTTGCAAACCTTGAGCAAATACCAGCTAAATTGTTATCTGCATCAGCTAATAGACCCAAATTGATAGAAACGGCAACCCACCCACGCAGTATTTTTTTTTTTCCGCCATCTAACCCAATATATTATAATATGAAGGAAGAAGCAAACAAGTGCAAATATCCGATGCTGCACAATCAATTAAGGCTGCGTCTAATGGAAGATAGTAGCGTCAGTCTCCCAAGCCTCCGAAGAAGCACAAATAAAAACTGATAAAACGCTGCATCTCAGATTTCCAGCAGAATAAAATGAAATTACACTCGTCGCCTCTGCTCGCATGCACACATATGTTTGCTTTCATTAAATGCCGAAGCTGAGAGAATCCAGTCACCATGTACCGAAGCAACGCTCAGCGGAACAGGGAGAAAAACTATGCAAGCACCTACCTACATAGATATACATTGACACCTTCGTTCGAAAGTGTGTCCCCATCCATTCTGCCTGACGAGAAGGAACTCCTCACTCCACCTTCTAGGTCAGAAAATCCCACCCTCCCCAACCCAATCCAACCCTCTGACACAGTTTTCTCACAACAAAAAGAAAAGAGAAAAAAACTGCGTTTCCTACCGTAATTTGGAAAATTCCCCATGCCATGTACAGCTCCCGCTGGGGTCCTTCGCCGGCCTGTTTCTCAAAGTGCGTACCCAGCGGTTCCACCTGTTCCGTCGCCACGTACAGCACCTTGTCGGTCTCGAGACTGTCCAGAAACTGCAGAATGCTCGGGTGGCGCAGCGTTTTCAGTCGCTTCACGGCGGCCTTGGCCAGTTCCAACTTCACATCCGTCCCGTTCTTGATGTCGTACACAAACACGGACACTTCCTCATTGCTTCCGCCTTTCCGTTTGCCCCGGTGCAGCGACCAGATACTGCGCGAATCGAACTGCTGCACTGGTTCCCCGATCTCGTACGGGAAATCTTTGGCCGAGTCCCGTGAGAAGAAAGACCACATCTTGCCGTGTCGTCGGTTCCGGTCACGGCCCGTCTAGCGTTCAAGCACAAACACAAGCACCACCAGCACTGGTTTTCCGCGAGCCTTATTATTCACTGAGCACTTCCCGTTGGCAAAATCGATTTTCTTTTGGCAAATTTTAATGAATTTTCACTTTTTCTCTCGCTGACGCAGAGATTATTCACCATCACCATCAGTTTTCGTTCTGGAGTTTTTTTTTCCTTCACTTTTTTCCACAACGAAAAATGCAGAGGGCAAAATTTTGACACCTCACCTCATACTCCGCGCAGAACATGAAAACAAAGACGAAACGTCAAACCTGGCTACTACCCGGTGCTGAAACTGTGAAAGCCCTCGAGCGTCAAAGACCACAGATTACGAAGAACAGACGAAAATATACCAGTGGCATTCATAATGGCCAATGTCCCATCATGCTCAACTGGGGTATTTTAGAACATAATTGCAGTTTAGCAATGATTTATTATCATGATTGTTTTTTAAATGATGTCATTCAAGTTAGAAATCACTATCAAGTAAATATCAATATATTTCCAGATCTATTCGGAGCTGTAAACACATTATACGCCTACACGCAGAAAAAATTATCGTTGAAACAAAAATATTTGAGGTAAATTTAAACGTAAACTCAGTTTGTTCTGGCCACAAAAATAAACAAGGTTTATTTCAAACGTATTCCATGTTTGAAGTCATGTGATATTTATGTTTAAAATAAAAATAATGTTACGTTTATTTTAAAAATATTCGTGTTGAAAATACAGGTGAATATTTTTGTTTGGTTATTTTAAACATGCTTCTTATGTTTGAAATAAACATACTTAATTTTAAATTATATTAGCATTTGAATATAGGAGAAAGCAAAAAATTGATTGCAAAGAGATGAAAATAAAACGATCTACAGACATGGCATCTAAACTCCTGCTCTTTTTTGGGTGCGATTAAGGGTGGGCTTTGGATGTTGGGGTCCTGGTCCGAGATGCGGGGACCCGTCGGGGTGAGTGTCCGGAGGTTCCAGTTCAGTAAAACCTGAGTACTGCGGACTCACTCAAGGTGCTTGTCACTTGGGAGCCAGTGTGAATTGTCAAGCAGGAGCCAAACATTCAGAAGCAGCTAATGCAGTTACTGTTCTTATCTACCATCAAGCATTGTAACCTCACAAAAATGATCTATACTTTTTCATAACACATTCTTCATTTTAAGCTCAAAGATAAAAACCAACAGGCTCAGTGATGAGAGTATAAAAACCAACATAATTTTTATGGGGCAACTGAGTTTTCAATTACAGTAAAACATACTTGGGCGAAACATGTATGTAAACAAACTTTGATAGAGTCATGAGGGCTCGAGCACTCCTGGCTCAGAGCTTTTGGCGGGAATCAACTGAGAAAGAGCAAACCAGTTTTAAACTTGAGAAAATTTTCAAGCAGTTTTCCATTGACTTGCAAAATAAAATTGGTCAACTCCGCAGTACCCAGAGTAAAACCAGTAAAATTTGGGATATTAGCGTCGTTTTGTCGTTTCTAATGCTGGTTCTTATACCGGCCTATTTCTACTTTCGGTGTTGTAGGGGGGTGGTGAGGATCCGGAATAGATTCAAAATCTATTTCGGATTTTCGTTTTTCTTCTGACGTCAGTTGTGGAGGAGGATGATACAGGGATCGGCATCAGAAACGACAAAGTAATGACGATACTGTGGGGTTCCTCCGGTTTTATCGAGCTGGAACTTTGTTAAGACACTTACCTAGGTGGGTTTCCGGATCCATGACTTCGGTTTTGTTGCCGGCCGTTTTCAGTGTTGATTGGCAAAGCTGGGGCAATTTTTTTCCGAATGTAAACAAGAAAGAAAAAAGGCAGGGCACGCTAAAAATCATTTACCCAAATTCTATATTGTTGAAATAAACATCATTCCGCATCGAACGTTCGACTGTTACCTCAGTGCATTGCTGGTCCCACCAAGGGGAAAGAGGTTTCCTACGGAAAGACGTTACTGGAACTGGCCGAGTTTGAGCTTGAAGCGCGCTGTCCAAGATCAGATTGGAGAGGAAGTTATATTCCTCCAACGGTGGAAGCCCTTCTACCGACGTTAGGGCATCTTCTATCACATTCTTGAACTTTGTCCAATCGATATTACGGGTAAGATCGTACGCGACGTTAACGGATTCCGACGGATTGAACCCACTGGCAACTGAAACTTTGATCGGCAAGTGATCACTACCGTGGGGATCTTGGATCACATTCCACGTGCAATCCAACGATAATGAGTTAGAGCAAAGTGTGAGGTCTAATCTACTTCCATTCGAGGATGGGCCAGCCAAACGTGTTACTTCTCCATTGTTAAGAATTGTCATATTAAAGCTGTCGCAGAGGTCATATATCAAAGTAGAACGGTTGTCATCATACAGTTCCCCCCAGCCTGTACCGTGGGAATTCAAATCTCCCATAATCAACCGTGGAGCAGGAAGTACTGAACAGATATCTGAAAGTTGTTTGCGATTAACAACGGCTCTAGGAGGAATATAAACAGAAGCAATACAAAGGCTCTTACCTTTAATAATAGCCTGACATGCAACAACTTCAATACCTGGAAATTGTGGAAGATTCACTCTATAGAAGAATGGCACTTTTTGATCCCCAAAAGTACCCCTCCTCCACGCGAATCCTCACGATCCAGTCGAATAATGTTAAAATCATAAAAATGAAGATCAATATCTGAAGAGAGCCAAGTTTCACAAACAGCAAATGCATCACAATCATTATTGTGAATTAAAAACTTAAAAGAATCTAATTTAGGAATGAGACTTCGACAATTCCACTGTAGAACAGTGATCAAATCCCCGACCTCGTTTGGAAAATTATCCATCGAAGGAAATGATTGCTGCAATGAGGGGCCACTTCAATGTCAATTGCTTCAAGAGGGTCTTCACAGAAGGAAGCATTGCCAGAACAATGCTTTTGAGAGGATCAGAAATATTGAGGTACTTGAGAATATCGTCCACAATTTTATCAAATGAGAACAACCCGGATGAAGAAGGGGCTTCTGTTCCTAAAAATGGGCCATCAGGGGTTTTTGATGTCCCCGGAAGAGATGGAAAATTCTGGTTATAATCAGTTCTGCGGAAACCAGGAGGAGTTGAAACTTCCTTTTTTCCATCACTCCTTGATTTGGGCAAGCTGATTTGGGGTTCCTTATCTGCAACTTTCCGCGAACGGATGCGTTTTCGTTTCCGTGCAGAACCTTCCGGAAAACTGAAAGAAACTCCCTCCTCAGCCAAGTCAGAGTCAGACTCGTCATCAGACAAAACAGCAAAGGGATTTTTGTCGTTGGTTGATGGTGTGGCTGTTTTTAGCATTGCTGCAAAAGACTGCCTGGAACGCTCCTTAAGAGAGCGTTCTAGTTTCTCCCCGCGTTGTTTGTACGCCAGGCACGATGAGAGACCATGAGGAGTTCCCTTACAGTACACGCATTTTGGTGCAGTGACTGTGCAGGCGCCATCCTCGTGCTTCTCCCCGCATTTGGAAACGCGTGCCTTGCTGCCACAGTGAGAGGCCGTATGTCCCAACTGTTTGCAGTTTTGGCAGTTCATGACCCGAGGAACAAACAAACGCACAGGTAGCCGAAGTTTTCCCAACTCGATGTAGTGAGGAAGGGCTGAACCAGAAAAGGTCACCCGAAACGAGTCTGTGGGGGTAAAGCTCTTTTTACCCTCGCGGAAAGATACTGAGTTCAGCTTCTGGACTTCCAGTATCTCAACCGTGGGAAGCAAGGGGTTCTTGAAACGGCCAACCGCTTGCTTCGCCAAGATCTCGGGGGTCAGACTCGCTTCGGTGACCACACCTTCGATCTCCACATTACGAGCTGGGATGTACACTCTATACTCGAGTGTAAAGAGCTGGGAGGCAGCAATCTCGTTAGCTTGTTTCAGGTTAGAGACGACAACGCGAAGTTTATTGTACCTCACCTTCGAGATTTCGGTCACGGCCAAGAACCGCTTCGTCAGATCATTAGTAATTTGCATTACATTCAAAGGTTTCTTTTTGGGCTGAAAGTAAACAACCCATGGGCCAGTCGAGTCTTCTGGGTAGGCTCGCGATCGGGGGCTTATCTGTCCCTGTCCATTACCAGACTGAGATGACGAACCAGGGAAGGCATCATCTGTCTTCTGCGAAGACGTACGTTTTCGACCCTTCTTGCCATCGCGTGGCAAAGAAGTGTCGTCTTCCGACAAAATGTCCATTTTGCCGTACTAGTGGGAGCGAAAAACGCTCTACCACTGCAACGATAATCAAAATTACTCGGACACAATACACGAGAAAAAAAACAAACACAGAAACACAAACTTAAAATTTAACTGATGGGAGAAAGAAAGAAACAAGAACAAAAACTTATCTGATAATCCAATACTACTACCACCGAGCGTTTACACAGCAGCAGCGGAGCGACGCGCAGCTTTGATGATCTTCGATCCGCGTGTGCGGGCGGTCTTCGTTGGTGTGTGCTTGTATGAAGCTCAGCACTCAGCTGAACACACGATGATGGATGAGCGGTTTGAATGTGGAGACAGATGCTGACACTCGATGACGATGATCCGTGTGCACAGGTATGCGTGCCAATCGCAAAAACAAATTTCGATGATGCCGAAAACACACTTTCTTCTCAGAAAAAAACTCACTTTTTGATAAATTTATCCGGAATTATGCCAGGAATCACTAAGCGAGAAAAAACTGATTATTTACGTCAGATAATAGCGAGAAAACTTCCAAATTAACGGAGCGCGAAACAAGTCGACCGTACTTCTTGCTAGGACGCGGTGGTGTATACGGAAAATGTTGGAGAAAATAATTCTTTTTCGTCTAGACAAATCAAGGGGGGGAGGTGTGTGTGTGTGTGTATTCAATCTAACCCCCACTGGCCGGCAGTGGTATTATGGAAGAAATTTGCTTACAACAATCCTTGATGTAATAATTTAAAGCAAGTTTAGTCCGGGAGTTAGAAAGCGATAGCTCTACTGCAGATTCAGCAACCCATTTCAGAATGCCTGGTAATTCACGTCCATTCCGCGGTTACTTTCACATACAATAAGCCCTGCATGTAAACACTACCGTTATCATATGAATAATGGTACTGCAAGCACACTTCCAGATTTCGAAATGTGATGTTTCGAAATCTGGCGCGTATTTAGTAATATATGGAAATATGTATTTATGATTGATTATAAATCAGATGGATCTCACCAAATTCTGCCTCCGAAATAGGACCGGTTTGTTCACTCGCGGTAATCGAAACAATCTTCCACGTTGTTTTTACAACCCAACACGACATTTTGAATCACATTCGAAGTTTTTTATTTGCACCGAATTTTTGCTTGACACCTCATTCGCGTGCATTCTCCGGAAGGCAGAACGCCAGCACCAAGAAAAGAAAAAAAATACCCGGTAAAACGGGTAAAACTCTTCTTGGGAGGGAGGCAAAGCACCAAAAACAAGCGAAATGAAAAACCGACCGACGCGACACCACAGCAACACAGCTACTCGAAACAAATTCTTGTTCCAGATTTTTCACGTTAATTACAATATCAATTAAAAAAACACTTCTTAAGACGTGATAGATCTTAATTTACACTTATCCTTACGCGAAAACTAATATTTGTTTGATTTGGTACAATTAAAAAATATGCGAAAACAGATGAAATCAGCGCCAGCAAAAACAAAACCAACCATTCGCGGACAGAGCCTACACACTTAAATTTTTTCGCCGAGATTCCAACAGCCGAGTAATTCTGCAATTTATTTTGCTGAGATTCAGTCAAATAATTGCCGAGACTCAGCTAACAAATAAAATTTTGCTGAGATATCAGCTAACAAACAGATATTTTGCAGTGATATCAGCAAAAGTGAATGCCGAAGTAATCGGCTGTTGGAGATTTTACCGAGCTAGATTAAGTGTGTACACACTTAAATTTTTTCGCCGAGATTCCAACAGCCGAGTAATTCTGCAATTTATTTTGCTGAGATTCAGTCAAATAATTGCCGAGACTCAGCTAACAAATAAAATTTTGCTGAGATATCAGCTAACAAACAGATATTTTGCAGTGATATCAGCAAAAGTGAATGCCGAAGTAATCGGCTGTTGGAGATTTTACCGAGCTAGATTAAGTGTGTACTGCGTTTCTAGACAAATCAAGGGGGGGAGGTGGCTGTCAAATACGAACAATCGTCGCCTACCTCGCATAACTGGTTCCAAACGTAAACAAGCCATAAGAAACCTACAGCGTTTGTTTACGTTTGGAACCAGTTTCATACAAGATGATCAGTAGGCTGATTTGACAGCACGTCCCCCCCCCAGAGACAAATGGGTTGAGTCGAATGGTTTACTTTCAGATACGCAATTTGGATTTCGGAGAGGCAAAGTAACGAGCGACTGTCTTGCGTTGCTTTCAACTGAAATTCAACTGGCTTATGCGTAAAAACAGCAAATGGGTTCAGTTTTCTTGGACATTAAGGGGGCTTTTGATTCTGTTTGTATCGATGTCCTTTCGGATAAACTCCACGATAGTGGGCTTTCACCAATTATGAACAACTATTTGAGCAACTTGTTGTCTGAGAAATATATGAGCTTTTCTCATGGAAACTCGACAACTTCACGAATTAGTTACATGGGTCTCCCCCAGGGCTCATGTTTAAGCCCCCTTCTTTATAATTTTTATGTAAAAGACATTGATGGTTGTCTTGATGAAAATTGCTCGCTAAGGCAGCTTGCAGATGACGGCGTTGTGTCCGTTATAGGGCCAAGTGCACCGGACCTGCAAGGACCATTGCAAGATACCTTAGACAATTTGTCTACTTGGGCTATGAAGCTGGGTATCGAATTCTCTCCGGAGAAAACTGAGTTGGTTGTTTTTCTAGGAAGCATCATCCTGCACAGTTACAGCTTCAACTAAAGGGTAGAACAATCACTCAAAGTATATCTTTCAAGTATTTAGGTGTCTGGTTCGATTCCAAAAGCACGTGGGGAAAACATATTGCGTATGTGAAACAAAAATGCCAACAAAGAATCCACGTTTCTTCGTACAATTACTGGAACTTGGTGGGGAGCACACCCGGAAGATCTGATCAGGTTGTATCGAACAACCATCTTGTCGGTCCTAGAGTACGGTAGCTTCTGCTTTCAATCCGCGGCAAAACACACATCCTGAAGCTACAACGGGTTCAATACCGTTGCCTCCGAATCGCGCTTGGCTGTATGCACTCGACGCATACGATGAGCCTCGAAGTACTCGCGGGTGTTCTCCCACTGACAGATCGTTTCGCGGAACTGTCCTTCCGGTTTCTTATCCGTTGTGAAGTAATGAACCCATTGATAATAGAAAACTTTGAGAAGCTGCTCGACCGAAATCCTCAAACAAGATTCATGAGTTTGTACTATGAGTACATGACGCTGGAGGTTGGCCCTTCTTCATTAATCTCCAATCGTGATTGCTTTCAAGCCTTCTATAGTTCCTCTGTAAATTTTGATCTGACCATGATGCAAGAAATCCATGGAATACCAGATCACCATCGGTCGATGGTTGTTCCCTCAATTTTTGCAATCAAGTACCACCATGTAAGTAACGATAAAAGATTTTTCACAGATGGGTCAACCATAAATGCTTCCACTGGATTTGGTGTATTTAATCAATTTCATAGCGCCTCTTTCAAACTGCAGAAACCATGCTCAGTATACGTTGCGGAACTCGCAGCTATATTTTACGCAGTAGAGCGAATTGCCTCACTACCTTCTGACCATTATTTCATTTTTACGGATAGTCTTAGCTCATTGGAGGCTATTCGTTCAATGAGGCCGATGAAGCACTCCTCGTATTTCCTGCCCCTGAAATACGATCTAAACTGAGTGCTTTATCTAACTGCTTCTATACTATCACCTTAGCTTGGGTCCCATCTCATTGCTCAATTCCGGGTAATGAGAAAGCGGACTCATTGGCTAAGGTGGGCGCTATGGAAGGCGATATTTTTGAGCGACAAATCGCCTTCAACGAATTTTTCTCCATTGCTCGCCAGCAAGTCCTCATCAGTTGGCAACAAAAATGGAATGATGGTGAATTGGGAAGATGGTTACATTCTATTCTCCCACAGGTGTCGAACAAACCATGGTTCAAAGGGTTGGACATGAGCCGCGACTTTATACGCGTTATATCAAGGCTTATGTCCAATCACTGCTCGTTAGACTCGCACTTCTATCGAATTGGGCTCTCAGACAGCAATTCATGTGCGTGTGGCAGTGGTTATCACGATATCGAGCATGTTGTTTGGTCGTGTACCCTACACCGTGTTGCCAGATCTGGTTTATCCACATCCCTCAGGGCCCGAGGAAAACAACCCGCGATACCCGTTAGAGATGTCTTGGCGAGCCGAGATCTCGACTATTTGAATTTAATTTATGTGTTTTTAAAACGGATAGATCTGAGGATTTAGTAGTTAGTGTCATCTTGTGTTCTCTCAAGTTGTTAGCTGCCCATCGGTGTACCCCCATGTTTGTCTTTTTCATCAGAGTGTCGCTTAGTTCGAGATCAAGAGCACATTGCTCTCCAAACCTTGTGTTCACAATCCCTACCCTGCCATCCATTTGTTACAATTTGTCACCCCTAACCTCGAGATAGCCGCGAGTAATCGGCCCCCGCTTTACTAACGTTAGTTTTATATAATAATATTGTGATCCAAACAATGAATATCGGCTCCGCAAAGCTATAGCAAATGAGCCTGGAAAAATAAACGCATTATAAAAAAAAACAAAAAAAAAACAGCTGTTAGGCCCTTATTTTAGTTCTATCGCGATTTCTGTCTAAGAAATGTCTATATCCATATTTTCCAGTTTAAATATTGCGCATTTCACACAGAACTGGATTAATAAGGGCTTTTTCACTTATTAAAACGTCTGATAAAAGTGCGAGTTACGTCTAATCGTCTTGGTATCGTTGGTGCACGTATTCCCCATGATATGATGCGAGAAATAAGTGCTCCAAAGACACGATTTGACGGAAACATTCACTATTATCACACTTTTTTGCATTTTGGGACAGCCAGTTGTCCATTTTCAGATGCAATTAGCAATACCTAGATCAACAATTGAAATAGGCGGAACAACCAAACGTAAACAATGGCTTTTAATTTAATTTCACGAGAATCGAAAAACACTCACGCAAACTAACAATGCCATCAAATGAAAGAAGTTTGTTCTATCAGATGCTGGTATTAAATTGCATGAATGTGCTTTTATTCTTGAGAAATTTGCGTTTAAAACTTACGTTTGGTTTTTCCGCTTATTTCAATTGTTGCTCTTGACATTGCTTTAAGTGCCCTTCAGGAACGTACATATTCACAAACAGCTGAGTGCTGAGTGACAGTTTGGAAACGTCACTTTTTCCAAATTTTGCATCAGTGTGCGTTTATGTTTGTTTATGAAACTCCTCCACTCACAAACATTCACAAACTTTTTGTCTGATGGCAGTGAAGTCTGACGACTGAAGAAAACGAGGAAAAAAGTTTTGTCCACAGTGCTTTTTGTGATACAAAAGGAGTAGAGTTTGTATATGGTTTGTGTGCCCATAAAGTCGCTCTCCATTACGCGCATTTTTCCAAACAGCCACTGCTCCTTGCTCTTGTGCTTGCGCCGAATGTAGCTTGCGTTTTCCACTTTGGGATTGCATCGAGGAGAAGCTCCCCCGCAGCCAAAACGGAGAAGAACCCGCGAGGCCAGAGTGACTTTTTCTTTGTGTCCGAGCTAGAAGATAGTGAAGTTGGAAAATTGCAAGTGAAAAACAATAAATTTGATTGTGTTCATCGTCGTCATCGTAGAGCGAAGCTGCGTTCCCCGTGTGATTGAAGGTGAAAGTTTTTTCCTACGACCATACCCTCCCACTGGGGAAAAATTATTGATCCCAAACTCGAGGCATAATCCTAGGAAGGATGAACATTTGTACCGCACAGAAAACGACGATATCGTCATCGCCTTTGGTGATACATTTCGGGAGCTCTTTCTGCTTGGTGTAGTGCGAAATCGGGTGTGCGTGGATTTTCTCATTGCGTCGAAGAGGTCACACCAAAAACTCGTCAAAATCCCCCAAATATTGAGGAAACGAGCGAGGAGAGGACGAAAGTGGTGGTAGTGGCTCAAGCATTGATTTTCTTCGATTCGGGGAAGGTTTTAAGGTTCATTTTGTGTGTTGTTTTGCCGAGCTCAGCAGTCCGAATGGAATTGGTTTCTTGACTCGGGTAAATCAGAGTTATAATTCCGGAAAATGTGTAGGATTGAAAGGAAAAGCTAGTTACTGCTTCCCTTTTATTGTAGGTATGATTCAGTGCGACCAGCTGCTGCTGTTTTCCACTTGACACACGTTCAAGCCTTTTTCGATATTCTGGGCTGCAATCATCGTCAGCTGTGTGTTCGATTTTTTTTTCTTGGTTCTGCTGATTCATAGGAGTTTCGCTCTTCTCCCACAAGCAGCTGGCACTTCCTGCTGGGTCTTGTTGTGTACAGCAGCAACATAATAATTACATAAGTGCATAGAGAGGTGCATGTTAGTTGCCCAGCCCATAACAAAGAAAAATCGCAACGGAAAGTGTTCGAAAACAAAGCGCCCGAAAGCGAAAGCATAACCATAATACGTAGGAAAAATGGCAAACATTTCCTCGTGCTCACCACCTCAAATAATAAACATAAGTAGGTAGATTGTGCGGATACGATCTGCATCAGCAGCAGCAGAGCAGCGAGATTGTTGGCTGTGGTGAATCGAACAAAAACCAACAACAACAACAAAGCCAAGCAAAAACCAAAAAAAAAGTCGTCGAGAAACAAAAGTGAGTGAACGAAAACACACGCACACAGCCGAAAAGGTAAATATGTGCACTGAGCGAAATGGTCGCATATAATTACGATGAGACTAGGTATGTTTTGGTATGTGGCGAGAAACCTCAATGATCACAAACTTTCATTAATATAGAACGGAACGTTTCTGGGACTTACCATATTATTTCAAAATAAGAGCTACAGTCTACAAATAATCTCTCTATAACGACATTTCCAGAGGTCCCTTTAAATTATCATACAAATCTTATTCTTTACTGTGGCAATTCTCTATGACGAGACGACATCGCTGCTTTGTATCCATACTTATCATACTCTATTGGGTGCTTTAATTTTGAAAAATATATCGGTTACTAACATCGTCTGAAAGAGCTTCGTTTTCTGACCACAACGATATTTTTTTTCGGTTCCATTTACTTATATCTCAATTTTGAAATCAAGAGTCCTTCTGTTTTCCTTCTTCCTCACTTTCTTTTGCTTCTTCCTTGTGTCTCTATCTCTCGTTTCAGGACGTGTAATTGTGGGTTCCTTCGGCGACTCATGTGCTTCAGCCAGCCTTATGCTCTCCTTGGCCTCCAGCAGAGCCTTGTTGGAATTTTGATACCACACAAGTTGGTCACAAGTTGCTTGATTTATTTGTGTACGTTGTTTTTATCCTTTACTAAGAGCATCCGCACCAATGCGTTGCTATTCGGGCTGCTAGTTTGACAACTTTAGCCATTGCTATTTTAGTTAGCAACTTGTTTACGCACCCGTCGTTGCTATCACGATTGTGAATTTACGTTTTCGGCTTTCGCACCGATAGTTGCTAAACTTATCGTCGAACTTCGAACTGAAATTGATCACAGAGTTTCGTGATTGTTTTTTTCGACAATATTGATATACCTAACCACGAAGACTGAAGATTGAAGGTTAAGATCTAACTACTGACCCAGGTATCCGAATAGCCCAGCGATTTTTTTTAAAAATCACTTGTTGTGATGCTACATGAATATATTTGAATCTGGGACCAGAATGCGCACATTGGTGGTCATGAAACTGTCCTCTGGGAGATCCGGAACATCCATAAAAGTGGTCAATTCGTAAAAATGATCGAAATATTGATCTTCGTATGCTTATTTTATAAAGGTTGCAGGGTGGCCACAGAACCGGGAAAACCGGGAAAAAGCCGGGAATTTGAAATGGACCGGGAAAAAACCGGGAATTCCGAAACAAAACCGGGAAAAATCAAATTATATATTTTATTTTAATTTAATTGCATATGCACAAGTTCACACTCTTTCTCAATCCAACTTGCTCAATATAATTCGAAAATGCTAATCAGTCCCACCTTGATGTTGACTGGCGATGGCAGCTTTTATTCTCTTACACCGATTCCGTTTTCGAGGTGTACCTAACACTGAGCGCCAACAAGTGCGAGCTATTGACAGCTCAGCATCATTCGTTTATAAACAAACATGCACCAAACAGCTACACCCTGAAAAATTTGGGTGTACGGTAGTACAGATCTGCTGTTACTCCAGAACAAAAACGAACGACATTAAGCGGCTTAAAGCTTTTTTTTTCGACGGCGATCAAGCGTCTGAAAAAGATTCAGCAAAGTTGGACGACCGGGTTCGTTCGACATTCTCTTTTAAAAGCTTTTTCGTTCACCTCACGTTCGGCTCTTCGCATGTATTGGCATGTTCTGAAACGTACCGACCCGACGACGAGCTATCAACCTTCGTCAATGAAAAAGCTTCGTGTTTTTTTCATTCATTTCGCGAGCATTGGCCTGTTCAAAACCGCATTTGCATTGAAAAAAGTGAGACGCGTTTTCCATCTGTGTTTATAAGTGTAAAACTATCAAATAAGAGTAGTGAAATTTGAGAAAGTTGGAGCAAATAACCATGACTACAAAATATTCGACGAGGTATGAGAAGGATTATCAATGGAGCGCGCCGGATCCCAAAGTACCGACTGCTGCTCGATGCACCTGGTGCAATAAATCATTCAAAATTGATTCGATGGGAAGGGTGGCCTTTGGGAGTCATGAAAAAAGCAAAGGCCATCAGCATCAGGCTGCAGCACGTCGCTCAAATTTGCCGATCAGCAGCTTATTTGGAACGAATGGTAAGCTCCGAAATAACACGCTTGATTATACCACAATGCACTGAAACTTGCAACGAAGCTTCGATTATTGTTTTGGTTGCTATCGAATCAAGTTCATCATGTGCTGAGACTTTAATACATGAATTCTATGAATTGAATACTGATCTTCTATCTCAAATTTCAGATCGTTCAACAAATGATAAAATCATATCTTCAACTTCAAGTTTGACTGTCGATCCCAAGGTGAGTACAACTACCTTGGTCGATCCAATTCAGACAAATGCTTCAACATCATCTGAAGTGGCAGTAGGCGCCAATCAGGCTGTCATGAAAAAGTATTTTTTAAACGATTCGGTGACGTCCGCTGAAATTTTATGGGCACTTGAAACTGTGGCCACCCATGGTTCATACCGTAGTGCAGGTACCAGTGTTGCTCTGTTCCACAAGATGTTTCCTGACAGCCAAATTGCTTCGAAGCTGGAGATGAGCCGCACCAAACTTGGTTATTTCATCACACACGGTCTGGCACTTTACTTCAAGAAGATCTTACTGACCAAAGTTGAAAGTTGCTCCGAGGTCGTCCTTGGATTCGACGAAACACTGAACAAAATTGCACAACGGCAGCAACTTGATGTAAGCATTCATTTTTGGGATGAAGACAAGCAGGAAGTAAAGACAAGATATGTAGGCTCAGCTTTCCTATCATCGACACGAGCGATTGACTTGATGAGTGGGATCAAGAAGTGTTTCGAAGCATATCCCGGACTGTTGAAAAAAGTTATTCAGGTGTCTATGGATGGACCCAACGTGAACTGGCGACTCCTTAACGATCTGTCCTCCGAATTGCAAGAGATGCGTGAGAGCAGTTCCTTCAGTCTACTCAGCATTGGCAGTTGCGGTCTTCATGTAGTGCATAATTCGTTCAAGAGCGGTATGCAGAAAACGGACTGGAAGATCGATCAGTTTCTGGTGTCGTTGTACTACCTGCTAAAAGATGTTCCCCTAAGACGTGCTGACTTTATAGCAGTTACTGGTAACACCATATTGCCCTAAAATTTTGCGGAGTCAGGTGGGTGGAAAACCAGCGAGTAGCAGAACGAGCTCTAGATATGCTTCCTCATCTGTGAACATATGTGAAGGCACTAAAATTTCAACAAGAGTCAAAACGAAAAGAAAGTCATCCCGATTTCAGGAGAAGCTTTAAGGCGGTTTACAGCTCCAACGCGTTTTCAGTGGTGTCCCAAGCGGTATCGGATCAGCTCTTTGGACCTAAATTGAGCTTTTTTGTAGCTGCAGCGGCAAATGTGGAAACATTTTTGAAAGAATTTCAGGGTGATGCACCACTTGCTCCCTTTTTGTACGATGAACTAACAAGCCTAGTTCAAAATGCGATGCAGAGAGTGTTGAAGCCAGACCGCCTTAAAAAGAAACCTAAAGTGCTAACGGAGATTGACTTAAATCAGGACAACCTTCTTACATCAGCTGAACTAGACGTGGGATTTCCTGTAAAAGCGGCTATCAAAGCTGAAGGAATCCGTGGAAAAATGTCTGAACAACAACTCTTGGTGTTTCGCAACGACTGCAAAAACTATTATGTTGCATTTTTGACGAAACTCCTCGATCGTTCGCCACTTCGATATGCTCTAACAAGGTCTTGTTTAAGTCCATCTGTCATTTCAAACTCCCCAGATGTAGCCAAGAAACGACTTGAGTTTTGTTTGGAACATATGGTGGAGAAAGATCATTTGGCTGGAGCTGTTGCGGACAAGGTGAAGGATGAATATTCGCAAATTTGCACGATGGCCTTCTTCAAGTTAATTGCTTCAGGATATCGCAGACAGTAGACACGGGTCGATCATTTCTGGTTGAAGACAATTGCTGATTCTAGATAACAGCTTCCGAATTTGGCATCGTTTGTCAAGAAGATATTGATAATATCTCCCGGAAATGCAGCCCAGGAGCGCGGATTTTCCGTCAACAAGGAGTGCCTGGTGGTAAATCAATCCGAGGAAAGCCTGGTAGCACAACGCACTGTACATGATGGGATTTTAGCGGCTGGTGGTGTGACCAACATTCAAGTGGACAAGCAGCTTATTCAGTACTGTCGAAACGCCCGAGGTCGGTACCAGGAATTTTTGGATGCAAAGCGAGCTGAGGGGATTGCAAGCGATAAAGAAGCTAGCCGAAAGAGGGAAGCGGACAAAGCAATAAAAGAGCTGGAAATGATAAAGGCTAAACTTTTGGCAGACGCAGAGAAAGAGGCTGCTGCTTTGGACGTTAAACTAAAAGAGCTGAGAAAGTAAAGTGTAATATTAAGGTTTCTTTTTAAATATAAACTGATTCGACCATTTTGTATGGAACATAAACATATTTTCCTATTATTTTTGTATCTTCATCTGGATTCAGCTATGAGTTTGGTTTTCTGTTTTTGTGGATGAAAATTGTCGAAAACTTGCTTAGTTATTTTCATTTTGTTTTGTTTGAGGCAAACCGGGAAAATATTATTGTTTTAACCGGGAAAACCGGGAAAAAACCGGGAATTTCAAAATAAAAATTCTGTGGCCACCCTGTGCGCACCAAAATGCATAAAGGCATTTTCGGATGCCCACCTGGATTACTAGATTACATATTTTAGTTTGTGAATTTATCAAGCTCGGTTGGTCGAATTTAATACGGTAGATCTATTAACATCAGAACAAAATTGAAACCTTTAAAAAGTTCCAGTTGATAGAATTGTGGGGAAGTTAAAAGATCTTTAAGAATAAGTTTCGACAGCTCCAGGGCAATTTAATAGATTCCAGGAAAATTTACTTCAGCGAAAATCAAGAGCTTCAGGGCAGTTCCATTGAATTCAGGAAAATTTAAGCTTAAAGACCTATGAGTAAGTTACGTGAACCTCCGG